GGGGGGGGGGGCGTCATCGCTCCTGCCCCGGGCGGGCAGGGGCAGGGCGGGCTCCTGAGGCGCCCCAGAGCCGGGCCCCAGCCAGGATCTAGCACGGCTCCTGCCAGGCTCCAACCGGGTTCCAGCCAGGCTCCTACAGGGCTCCAGACGCTCCAGCCGGGCGGGAGAGGGCAGAGGCCCCCCGTAGGCGCCCCGCGCCGCGCAATAATTCTCCACGGGAGACTATATCACTTCTCCAGCAGGAAGCAGGGGCAGCAGCTGCTCGCGCCACGCTCATGGAAGTCACTGAAAACGACAGGCGCGGGCTGTCTCCCTCTCCCCTCTCTCTCTCTTTCTCTCACTCACTCTACCGAGCTGTCTCTCCCTGAGGCAGGGACTGCCATTCTCCAGAATATCCATCCCTTCAGTGGGCCGCGCCTGCAGTATTCCCCAAAGTAGGAAGACAATGCCGCGTCCTGCTCGTCGCGCGACGAGAGAGGGAGAGAGAGAAAAGAGAGAGCGAGAGAGAGAGAGAGAGAGAGAGGGGGGGGGGGGGGGGCGGTAGCGGTGATGGAGAAAAAGAGTCCACAGTAGAGAGCGGAAATAAAATTCAGGTAAAACGTCCGCCAGCAAGAAAAGAGGGGGCGCCGGCCGAACGGGGGTTCGAGACTAGAAAATAACGATAGGAGAGCGCGGGTGGCATAACGGGCCGAAAGAGAGAGAGAAATAGAGAGCAGAAGAGCAAGCAGACGAACGAACAGATTTTTCGCCCTGCTCCGCCCCTTCCCTCCTCGCGGCCCGTGTGACGCGAAGGAGTATCTCCTCCTCCCCCCTCTTTTCTTTTTCTCATCCCCCCCAAACCGGCTGGCCTATTCAATAGCAATTTCACTGTTATGCCTGGCGAGGCCTCACGACGACGACGACGACGACTCGGGGGACATTCAGATCACAAGCCCAGCGGCCCTGTCTCTGGGCGAGGCGCAAGGACATCGCGAAGCACGGCGGCCGGGCGCATCCAGAGATAGACATGCTCACAAAGAATATCAAGCAGAGCGGCCGTCCCGCTCAGACTCCCAGACAGACACTTTCCCTCCCCTTCTCTCGCTATCGGAGTGTAACGGCAGGACGGGGAGATTAAGAGGGGAGGACCCAAGTATTGGCGTAGCGATGCAAAGCCCCCGCCCCTCCTCCTCCCGCCCAAGGGCATGCTCCCCCTGGGATTGTCTTTATAAACGCTTTTAATTTTCCTTGCTCTCTCTCCCTCTCTCCCCCTGTATACATTTTTTTCTTGTTCTTCACTTGGAGCGACGCGCCGTGTTTTAAAGTGTGTAATCCTGCGTGATTTCCCTGCTTTTAAAGCGCGGCAAATAGCGCGCGAAAATTGCATTGAGAGGCAAATGCTTTTCGGAATCGTGCCCCCCCTCCCCCAACCCCTATATTCACCAATCATCCAACATACCGGTCCAGCCGGCCCCAACGACGCGCTCGCGCTGTCGCTGCACTTTGTGAAA